ATTACAGAAAATAGCAGAAAGTTTACAGCATTTACAACGGAAGAGGGGCATTTTGAATTTCTCAGGTTACCATTCGAATGGAAGAATTCAAGTGCAAAATTTCAGAGAGTTACTCAGGATGTTCTTGGTGATTTATTGGAAAGAAATGTAGTAGCATATATCGATGATATTATTTGTGGAGGTTACACTTTGAAAGAAGGTAAAACAATTACTTCGAAAATTTTGAAAAAACTTGATTAAAATAACTTCAAAATAAACTTCAAGAAATGTTCTTTTTGTATAGAAGTGAGTTTTCTAGGTAGAGAAATGAATGAAAATACGAAGAAGATGAAGAATGAAAAGGTGAAAAATATGAAAAGACCTTATGACATCATTACTGTTAGGTTGGTAAATGTTAGGTTGGTAACATCTTTGTAATAACTAATAACCTCAAGCTGATTGTTACATCCTGTTCCTATTCTGTATACTCATGTTGTATAGTGTGTGTGCCCTAAATAATAAATAAACTTAATACTATTGCTAACATGTGCTTATTAATTATTACATCCAAACATGGCGCAGTCGAAACCGTTTTAGTTTAAACTGAAGTAAGGACGTGATTTCAGCCATGGAATTCAACAAACCCTCAGAATTCGACGTCAATGCGGATAACATCTCCGAGAGCTTTAGAAGATTCCGGACTGAAGTAGAAGTTTATTTTGTAGCCACAGAGACTGAAAAGAAATCACGAAAGGTCCAAGTAGCGAGGCTGAAAAACTTATTGGGATCCGATGGATTAAAACTTTACTCCACAATCACGACATTAGAGCCAGGTGCAGAAACAGTAAAGTCAGTTTTGGATATCCTTGAAAAGCATTGTACCCCACGAAAAAATGAGACAATGGTGATGTATACATTTTTTGGTAGAAAACAAGCATGACCATTTGAACGCTATTTTACGGATCTAAAATCACTAGTAGCACCTTGTGAATTCGGTGAACAAGAAGAAAAATTGTTGAAATCCCAAATAATCCTTGGACTATATGACAAAAGTACTCAAGAAAGACTTTTGAGAGAAGACCCTTCATTGGAAAAAACAGTTCATTTTTGTAAAACAGTCGAGATGGCAGAGCTCAACATGAAAATTTTAAAAGCATCACCTCCAGTGAAGACACTGATTGATAATCCAACAGAGATACTCGAAGTACATCGGAAGACACAAATGAAAAGACCACAAGAATACCGGGATCGTCAGGATAATTTTTATGCTTGTGATCGCTGTGGCTTCAATCATGCTGAAGGACGATGCCCAGCATTTGGTAAACAGTGTTCCTCCTGTAGAAAGTACAATCAATTTGCAAAAAAATGCATCGGAAATAAGCATAATAATGTCACTCAACAAACTAATGAAGTGGTAGAGTTAAGTAATGATGTTTTTAAGATAGATTCTTTAAACCTGTGTGCCTGTGATTCTATCACACATGGGAAAAATGAATGGCTCGCTTTGCTCAAAATTAACGATCAACCGATTGAATTTAAACTCGATACTGGATCCCAAGTTAATGTTATAACAACTACTGTTCTTCAGAAATTGGATGCCGACCTAAAATAAGAAAAACTGATGTACTTCTTGAATCCTTTGGTGGATTTGTTGTTCGACCGATTTGCAGTGTTAATCTTGATGTTCAAAAAGACGATGTGAAAATAAATGCCCCGTTCATGGTTGTGAATGATGACATAACACCACTTTTGGGACTACGCTCCTGTGTTGAACTTGGACTTCTTCGTCGAATAGACAAGGTTTCTGTCCCAGTTGATGACTTTATCAAACATAATCAGGATGTCTTCAATGGACTAGGATGTTTTCCAGACATATGTAGGCCAAAACTCAGTAATGATGCTACTCCTAAGGCAAATCCTGCTCGTAGAGTTCCTTATAAAATTAAGAATAAATTAAAAAATTGCTTACATGATTTATTGCATGCAAACATAATAGAGCAAGTGGGTGAGCCTTGTGAGTGGATTAATAATCTTGTGATTGTAGAAAAACCTGACTCTTCACTAAGGTTGTG